AATGAACGATGTTAACATACAGCCGTCGTTTGGTCTCCCCTGGGCCTCTGAGGTTGGGAAGGAGGCCCCACATCGCCCTGATGACTCTGGCCGCTTTTTTCTCCACTGCAATGAAATGTTGCTTGAAGGTCAGCGCTCTGTCGAAGATCACTCTAAGGTACTTCAGGGTCGGGCGCAGCTCCGCGCATTCCCCGCACACCAGCACGGATCCCCCGCCGCACAGCTGCGCAGGTCTGCCAAACGCCATGGCCACCGTTTTTTGGGGCGATACCTGGAGGTCCAGGGCCCTGGTCCGGTGGACCACCGCTCCCACCTGCTCCGTTACCAGCGCCAAAGCCGCGCGAAGGTCGCGTCCGCGGGCCAGTACGACTATATCACCCGCATACGCAAGGAGAGCGCATCCGGGTCGCAAAAGGGCCCCCAGCACGTAGTCATAAGTCAGGTTCCACAGGAGCGGTCCAAGGACCGACCCCTGCGGAACCCCGGCCCTCACCGCCCGACGGTGGACCCGGCCGTCCTCCCCTCTAAATTGAACGGTCCGGTTGGAGAGGTAGTCCCCAATGACCGCTAAGAGGGGCCCTGGTACTCCCTTCCGGCCCACGGGACGCTAGTGAATGCGTTGGCCACGTTGACGCTCACCGCCACCACGACTTCTCCGTCGACGGTGGCTTCCTCCACGATGTTCTTGAAACGGATCATCGCGTCGATCGCTGATCTTCGGGGCCGAAAACCGAACTGGGAGTCGGAGAGGCCTCCTCCCGGAGCGTTCTTGAGGGCATCCATTAACTTACCGGCTATCACCCTCTCGAAGCCTTCCGCAATGTCTTTCAGAAGACATATGGGGCGGAATTTGCGCGCTCCCCCTCATTGCCCGGCCCATTTGGAATCAACACGAGGTTGGCCGTCTTCCAGTCTCTCGGCAAACGGCCCTCCCTCAGGCAATCGGAGTAGAGGGAGGTTATTACTCCGTGCGTCTCCTCCGTCGATTGCGCGAGCCATGACGCTCGCACCCCGTCCAGGCCCGGGGCGGTCTGCCCGCCCTTCTTCTTGCGGAGGCTCCTCGCAACCTCCTCCACGGTGACTGCCATCTCCAGCTCCCCCACGATTAATGGTCCCCGTGCGAAGAGGTCCGGGTGGTCCGCCACGACCGCAAGCGCCCGGAAAAGTCCTCGAGGACCTCGTGGACCTCGGCCAGGGGGATGGTCTCGGTGGCCGAAGATGTCGCACGCCTTAGCCGCCTCATGGCGATTTTGTATGCACGACCCCAGGGATCGGACTCCAGGTCCTGCACGATCTCGTTCCATGCGCGGGCCCTCGAATTTCCCTGCGGAACTGCCTCCTGGCGTTCCTGAGGTTCTCGCTTAGCTCCCTGATTGCTCCCTCCGATTCGGGCCGCCGTCCAACCCCTCCCCCTGAGTCTGGTGATGTGCGTCTAAGTCCGTTGCAGCGTTGCCGGACGAGCGCGAGCTCCCGCCCCCACCAGAAGGTGTGTTTGGAGGCGGAGTCTCGTACGCGGTTGGCCGCGAAATCGCAGGCTTCGCCGATTGCTTCCGCGAGATCTTCGGCCCTGTCGTCTATTGAGATGCCGCCTCCCCCTCGCAACCGCTTCGAGCCCCAGAGTTTCGTCAGAAGGGCGATTCTAAATCTGACGGGGTCGAAACTGGCCTTGGCCCATCTAGGGCCGAGGTCTCCCCGTGGTACGTTCCACCCCGGCGCCCGACTTCCCGGTGGTAGTACGCGGAAGGTCACGAACCTGTAGTCCGACAGTGATTCGGATTCCACAGGACCCTCCAGTGTAGGACGCTAACGGCGAGTCTAGGAGACGCCCACGTTAAATCGACCACCGATGTCCCGGCAGCTCGCACGCAGGTAGGTGTATTCCCCACGTTGATGAGGCAGAAGTCCAGTTCGGCAGCGAAGCTGGCTAGGATGTCGCCGCGCCAATTGGTGTCCGCACAGCCCCAGTCCAGCGATCTGCCGTTGAAGTCCCCGGCCAATAGCGTCGATGCTCTAGGAAATCGCCGGACGGTTGCCCTGAGCTCGTCGAGGGCGTCTTCGTACTCATCCCGTGGCATCTTCGGGGACAGGTAACACGACACGAGGTTGGCGCCTTCAAAGTTTACCGCCACGAATCCCAGCCCCCAGTGGGCCAGTATGCAAGGAAAAGGGGCCGTGCCTCGCCAAACGATGGCCGCTAGTCCGATGCGGTCCACCAGCCAGAGCGGCGAGTCCGAGGGTGCGTAATGGGGTTCCGAGACGAAAGCAATGTCCACTCCCCATTCCCCCATATGCTGGGCACAAAAGTCCTGGGCACCCAAACTCCTATTTAAATTAATTTGGAGGAACCGGGCTATTCCGGTTCACGGCATCCGGCCTCCGACCCGAGGTCTTCTTTTTTAATTTTGATGCTCCGCAAGCGGGGCCTCCCATCCGATGGTCGTGCGGCAGGCCCGCTTCGCTGCACACCGTGCACTTGGGCCTGGCCTGGCACTCTTTGGCCAGGTGACCGGCTGCTCCGCAGCAGAAACAGGCGCTCGGTTTGCCCGCTGTGAACCTTTTTGGGCAGATCCCTGACGTCTGTCCACTTGCACGGACGACCCACATTTACCTCCATATCCGCAAGCTCCGTGCGGAGCCTGGCAGCGAGGGCATCCGCCTAACGATCGCCCTCGGCTCCGTGGACCTGTAAGATAAGGCCTCCCGCGATGGCCCTCTTCGGGGGAAACTTGGCAATCTCAAGGTCGTCTAGGCGGATCTTTGCCGTCGCCCTATGCATGCCGGCGGCGTATGTCAGGCCCTCCGATCCCGGCGGTACGGTAACCGTTACCGCCGCGGAGCCAAGAGGACGCCTGGCACGCGTCCTCCTCTTAGTCGTCCCGGGGCCCCCTTTCTTGGGGGTTTCCCCGGCCGCTCTCCTCCGGGCAGATCCGGTGCCTTTCCGGACCACCCGCGTCAGGCGGACCCGCCCTCCCCCGCAACCGGCGGAGGGTCCACGTCCATCGACGCAGACGACCCCGCCGGCGGGTCGGACGACGCGTGGAGCAGCGGCCCCTTTTTCCCCTTCCTCTTGTTTTTCCCCGCCTAACCCTTCCCCGTCAATTCCGATGGAGATTGGAGGGGGGATTGCGACGCCACCCGAGACGCGGCGAGCCGCCTCAAGGGAGCCAACTCCTCTCTTAACGAGCGGAGTTCCCTCCCGACCAGCTCCTCGACCCGACGCATAAGTGCGCCGCCGAGGGCCTCCTCGGAAGTCGAAGGGCCATTGGCGGGAGGGGCCATCGCTGCGACAGCCGGTTCCTCAACGACGGCGGCATCAGAACCGCCGTCCTCCGTCGCTGCAGCATCCTACGACATAATGTCGCATGCGCGCACAGCGGCCTCTCGCCGAGGCTCTTGCCACCTCGGGGGGCCCATTTGTTCCCGGGTCACTATTCCCTCAAGTTGTTTCTTGAGGCTGGCAACTTCCCCCTCCAGATCCGAGATGCGATTCCGCATCTCGGTGTTTTCCCGCTCGAGGCGTTTGGGCCCAAGCGCGGTCGCCCTCATCGTCATCTCGGCGCAGCGCGCCCGCGCCACTCGGGAGGCCAGTCGCAAGGCGTGAACAAATCCACCCTTTAGGCGTTTGGATCTATCCGCAACCTTGTCGACCTTGTCCATCTCCTCGAGTATGCGAGAGCCAACTGCACCGGACGGCTCGCGGCGGAGCTCCTCCGCCAGCTCCTCCACGCTGGGTAACTCCTTACTGCCTCGTGAGGGCTCGTCCGGAAGAGCGTTATGGTCCTCCAGAGCCTCCAGGGCGTCGAGCTTCTCCTGGGTCTCGCGCTCTAGGCGCGAGAGTTCGAGGAACGACCTCTTCGCCTCTTCCAGCCCGACGTGTTCCCCGGTCGTAGGGGGGCGGCCTCGTTTCCTCTTAGCCATAAGAGACGACAGCGACGCCTCCGACCCGTCGCTGTCGCTCGTTCACTCTCTTTCTCCCGTGTCCCCCAGAAAGGAGGACACGGAGTACGCCCTAGATAGGGCTCCGCCCTTGGCATCGACTCGCTGGAGTTTCACCAACGGCGAGTCGTTGCGCATCGTCCTCCTAAAGCTTCCAGCAGCACTAGTAGACGTCCGGGACTGGTCGATCACCACGGACGTCTCGTGGTCGTGGGATGACGACGGGGGGGGGGGTGCTTGAACACCACCCACACCCGACGGCCCTGGGGATCCGACCCCGTGGGCGGTAAGTTTTTTGCCCTCAGTTGACATTATACCCATAAATCCCCCGTTGTCGCCGGGGGAACACGCCTCATTATCGTCGAAGAGACGTGCCACCGTTAGCTTCCCCACGGGGCATCACCCCCGGACCTTACAGGCATGGCAGTGCCTACCGGGAGCTGAAGCCCCCGCCGGCATGGTCCAGGAGGATCATGGGTACTAAGCCCCCTCACCACGACAAGGTGGCGGCACGAGGGGGAGGGGGAACTTAACCAAACCTTTTTTTTTACGAGGAGAAAATCACTGACGGACACCTCTGCCCCATGAGGGAGGGACGAGGGTCGTGTGGGGCTTGCACCTACTAAAAACTCCGCGGTGGCCACCTTCGGCGCATTTTGGGGGGGTCACGGGATCGGTTGCGCAACCGCCGCCCCCCGGCGCCCCGCCCGGGACCCGGGCTCAACTCGTGGGGGGCAATGCGTCCCCCTGGCATCCGTTGTTTTTTGCCGACGGGGCGGGGCCACACCGCCCCGCCGGCACCTCTCGGGATCGTGTGCAATGGGGTCCCGAGCACTCACTCGAGACACCTGCGATCCCCGCGGTTCGGTCACGGAAACTCCCATTTAATAAGGGAGGTGGGATCGAACCGCCGCTCTCGGGGTCGGCGTGCAATAGGGACTCTCGTCCCCTGCCGAACCAAGGGGCGAGGACTGCAAGCGGGGCCAGGTACTCAATCCCCCGGCCCCTCATCCCCGCCGCCGAGAGAGTTCACCCCAAGAAATGAGTGAACGCGGACGGGACGCCTATCCAAGAGGCGGCGGAAGACCTGTCACTCCCGGACAGCGCCACCGCCCCGCCACCCCTTGGCGGGCGGGATCGGCCATCTCCCGATCCCGCTCCGCAGCCTCCTTCTTCAGCATCACCTGCTCGCAGAAGGAGGCCACCGCCTCCCGTGACATCTCGTCGCGGGCCATCGCGCCGACGACGGCCGGCAACGAGAGGTCCCCACCGATTACTTGGAGCAGGACATAGCGCTTCCCCTCCCAGGCGGGACACACCTCGAGGGTGTGTTGCGCCGTGTCCCGCTCCGCATCGCAATGATGGCAATGCGCCGTCGCCTCCTGACCTATTCGACACAGATACTTCCCGAAACACCCGTGTCCGGAGAGCACCTGCATCAGTCGGTAGGTGTGCCTACCGTGAACACGGTCCAGCCAGCTATCCCAGCTGGCCAGCACAGCCTCGACCGCCCTGTGCCCGGCGGAACCGGCTAGCCGGTCCCGCCACTTGGTTCGGGCAAGACGTCGGGCCTGGAGCATCACATACCTAACCTAACCTAACCATTTTTTTTTTGCGAGGAGAAAATCCCTACCGAACATCCCCGCCCCCGGGGAGGAGCGGAGGTAGTGTGGGGCTCGCACCCACTAAAAACTCCTCGGTGGCCGCCTTCAGCGCAAAGGCGGTGTAGCTACGGTATCGGTTACGCAACCACGCCCCCCCCCCTGCGCCATGCCCGTTACCGGGCCCGTCTCGGTGAGGACAGAAGGTCCCCCCAAAAATAAAACCCCTCTGACTTTGCCGGTGAGGCGGGACCACAACGCCCCACTGGCACCTCTCGGGGACGCGTGCAATGAGATCATGAGCCCCCATTCAAGACCCCCGCGACCCATGCGGCCCGAACGCGGGATCCCCCCGAAGGGGGAGCGCGCGTTCGCGCCGCAGCTCCCGGGGGTCGGCGTGCAATGAGAACTGTCATCCCCTGCCGACCCCGGCGGCGCGGGCTGCCAGCGGAGCCAGGGAACACGTTCTCTGTCCCCTCACCCCCGCCGCTGGTCGCACATTGCCGGGGGGGAGGGGGCGGTTACACACCACCCCGCCAGCGCCTCCTGGTGTCGCGTGCAATGGGATCCTGAGGCTCAGGACCCCCGCGGCCCATGCGGCCCGAACACGGGGCCCCCCTGAAGGGGGAGTGCGCGTCCCCGCCGCCGGAGGCCGGCGTGCAATGGGAACTGTCATCCCCTGCCGATCCCAGCGGCGCGAGCTGCCAGCGGAGCCAGGGAACGTGTCCCCCCGCCCCACACCCCCGCCGCGATAGGAGAAATTTTGCGGGAGAACGGAGCCGCACCGAGGGAGGCGGGTGACCCGCCACCCTGGAACGACAACCGACCCCCGCCCCACCTCGGCGGAGCGGGACCGGCCGGAGGCCGCCTGTGAGCCGGAGGCCGGTCCCGCACCGCGGACCCCCTCCGCAGCACGAGTGCACGCGAAGGAGGCTTCGGGTTTAGTGAACCCCCCGTTCGAGCGGTGCTCACGTCTCGGCCCCAAAGAGGGTTGGGGCACTCAACCCACAAGGAAAGGAAAAAAGAAAAGAGGGTGAAAGAAGAAAGAAGGAAGGAGGAAAAAGAATTAAGAAAGGAGAGGGAAAAGAGAGAAGAAAAGTCGAGCGAGTAAGAGGAGAAAAGATACAGGAAAAGAACGAGGAGGTTGTGTGGGCGCTCACTTTTGTCTGGCTACTCCCCCAGCGTCTTCCCGGCATGGTAGCACCTGCCGGAGGGCCTCGGCCCTCCGCCGGTATAGCCGCTGGGATCGTTGTAGCACGCAAGCCTCCTCACCACGCCAAGGTAGTGAGCACGAGGGGGAGACGGGACCTAACCTAACCTAACCTTTTTTTTTTACGCGGTGAAAATGCCTACGCACACCCCCGCCCTCGGGGATGGGCGGGGGTAGTGTGGGACTCGCACCCACTAAAAACCGCGCGGTGGCCGCCATCGACGTCGGAGGGGACCGCGGTCCCCCCGCGCCACTCCCGGTTTCCGGGACCTATCCCGGGGGGGCGGGGGTGGACACAATCCCCCTTGTGACCCCTCCTCCTTGTTTACGCGTCTATCAGCGGAGGGACGCGGCTACGTGTCCAGCGGCCCCGTTCGTTGTGGTGGGGGACTGCATGCCATGGGTCCCTCGTTCCCCGTACTTGGGACCCTGCAGCCCCCCGCGCCCCGGGCCCCGCCACTCCCTCAAGGCCCCCACATCCCCCCCCAGAGGAGGGTAGGGGGGAGAGGGGGAGGAAGAGCCTGGGACTCTTCGCCTGTGGGCCGGCGTGCGCTGGGAGGGGCCTATTGCCCCTCCCCGCTGGCCCGGGCGACGCCGGACGCTCGTAGGAGCCCGGGCGCAGCCGGGCCCCGCAGCCCGACGTCGCCCCCTCGCTCGCGAGCCTTTTTCTGGGCCGCGGGGGGCAGGTCGCAGAGGCCAGGGTTGTCCGAGAGGGAGGCTAGTCCCCCCTCCGGCCCCAACACCCTCGCCGACCCCCTCGCCATCGAGCGGGGTCCGCCCGCTCCCTTTCCCTTTCGGCCACCTCCTTCTGGAGCATCACCGCTTCACAGAAGGAGACGGCCACCTGCCAAACCCTCCCGCAACCGACCATGGCCCTGACCGCGGACGGCAGCGAGAGGTCCACCCCTATCTCGCCTACCAGGACCCGGCGCTCCGCCTCCCAGGCGGGGCACACTTCGAGCGTGTGCTGCGCCGAGTCCCGGTCGGCTCCGCAGTGGTGGCACTGCGCCGTCGCCTCCAGACCTATTCGGTGCAGGTACTCCCTGAAGCACCCGTGCCCGGAAAGCACCTGCACCAGACGGTAGGTGAGGCTCCCCTCACCGCGATCCCGCCAGCCCCTCCAGCTGGTCAAGATCTCCCCGACCGCTCGCCTCCCCGCGCTCGCCTGCAGGCGCTTCCGCCAGCGCTCCACGGCGAGCAGCCGGGGCTGGGCCCGGTGCACCTCCACCGCCCTCCGATGCTGCCGGGGAACGGCCCCGCAGCCCCCCAGACCGAGACGGCGGGCGAACTCGTAGTTCGCCGCGTCTATCCCCTCCAGGAGGTCCCAGGGCAGAACCCCGGCGAGGGCGGTGGCCGCCTCATACGACACCGTGCGGTACGCTCGGGCAACCCGGATGGCCAGCCGCCTCTCGAGGCGTCGAAGCACCTGCAGGCAGTTCTTGCTGGCCACCAGGTCGCCCGCTCACACGGGGTAGCCGTATCTCACCATAGAGGCTACGACCCCCACGTAGAGGCGGCGAACCCCCTCGTCCGACCCCCCGAGATTCGGGAGTAGGCGGGAGAGTGCCCCCGCCACGCCCTCCACCTGAGGGGCCAGGTGCTTGAGGTGCTCCACCAGGCTCCAGTGGCTGCCCAGGACGAGACCGAGTTACTTCATCGAGGTCCCGACCCAGACGTGAGCCCCACCCACGCGTATCCAGGAGTCGGGCGGTGGCGGCCCCCCGCGGCGGCGCCTGTGGTAGAACCACACCGCCTCCGTCTTATGGGGGGCCATGGAAAGCCCCAACCCCTGGATCACAGCGACGACGCGTGCCACCGCCAGCTTGGCGACGCGCCTGACCCTCCCGGGATCCTTCCCCACGACGATCACGCCCGTGTCATCCGCATAGCCGACGACGTGAGCGCCGGGGGGGGAGAACAACCCTTAGGATACAGTCGTACACGACGCACCACAGGAGCGGTCCTAGGACCGACCCCTGCGGAACGCCACACACGACCGCCCTCCGCTGCGCCACACCATCCCGATCCGTGTACGTGATCACCCTGTCGCGCAAGTAGGCCCGGACCAACTGCAGGTACAGAGGGACCCGGTGACGCTCCAGGCCCCTCATAACCGCATCCCAGGGCAGGGTGTTGAATGCATTGGCGATGTCCAGAGACACCGCCAGTGCCACCCCGCCCCGGGCGGCCGCTGAGTCCGAGAGGGACCGCAAGCGAACTAGCGCGTCGTTGGTCGACCGTCCCTTCCGGAACCCGAACTGGTTGTCGGCCAAGTCAGGCCCCACACGCGACAGGTGCTCGGCGAGGCGGCCAGCCACCAAGCGCTCGAAAAGCTTCCCCACCTCGTCGAGCAGGCAGATCGGGCGGTAAGCGGAGGGCTCGTCCGCCGGCTTGCCCGGCTTCTTAATGAGGGCCAGGCGTGCCACTCGCCAGTCACTGGGGAACCGCCTCGCCCCCAGACACTCCGTGAAGAGCGCCCGGAGGCGGGGTCCCAGCTCCCCAGCGGCCAAGGCCCAGGCCTTCCCTGGAATGCCGTCCGGTCCCGGGGCGGTGTTCCGCCCCGAAAGTTTCCGGACGGCCCGGGCGAGCTCGTCCTCCCGGACCCCCACCCCAGCGGGCCAAACCATCCCGCCCGCCGGAGCAGGGGCCAACCGTTCTCTCGGCCCGCCCTCAGGAAAGAGGGCGGCTACAATCCGCCCCGCCACCAGGGGGTCCAGTGTCTTGTTACGGGGCGGCCGAGCAGATGCGAGGCCGGGGTAATTCGGATGGAGATTACCCAAATCTTGCGCGTAACGTTTATTTTGCGTTTGTGAGGAGATTGATCCGAGCGGCTAGATCAATTCCTCTGGTGGGACCTAGGAGAATGAGGGATAAAAAAGGGGATGCGAACGAAGGGCTATATGGCGATAAGAGTTGTATTTATTCGTACGCGAGGTTTGAACTACAGTCAGCTGTGAGGAGCACACGAGGTGCCTTGACCTAATTTCTCTGGGTTAGTATACTTCCGCGTCGCGGCGGTTCGGGTGTCGCGATAGCGCGCTTTAGCGGCGGCAGGTTACTGGACGCCGGAGTGCTGACGCGGGAATTCTTGATATTTTAATGGTGGTCTGCGCGTGACTCTATCTCGCGATGCTGAGATTCGAGCTCAGCTGTTAAAAGTAAATCGATGGGTTCTTAATCTATCCGGTTAACCGGAGCAAGGCATGGAAATCGCGATAATGGTTAGTATTCGGTTTTGGTCGAAGATGAAGGGTTAATAAGTAAACTAGAATGAAAATGAGGATAAATCGAGCTTGCGAAGGATCCTGTACCTGGCTTGTTCAGCGGCCGTAATCGGTGACAGTCTCTTTTGATAGACCCGGTCGGATGACAGTGCGTGAACACCTTCGTCCCGTGACGTGTCCTAGGGTTGTAGGTCTCCTAGAAGCCTCCCGTCCAGCGGAAGTCGCAGTGCCGTCTGGTCCTGACTCGGTGGTTGGATCGCTGGAGTACCGGATGGCACTACTGCAGCTTGCAGGATAGTGGTCCTTGGCAGTGAGTCCAATGGTCTTGGTCTCTGACTCGCTAGGAACGGAGTACCGGGGACCAGGTGCTCCACTCGAGGTTTCGATGATGATTGACGTTGACTGATGTGTAGCATAAGAACAGACTTTGACTTAATCCGTCCGTCTTGATCGGACTGCTGGTTTTATTAGCAGGATGTTGCAATTGGTGGGGGTTCCCTAGGGCGCAGGTGAGGGTGGACTTTTGAGTCGTGCTGATGCGTTGC